AAAAAAAAAAAAAGAATTGTGGGGAGAGGCTGAGTCCAGCTTTAGTGTAATTATCTTTGATGATACAAACAGCAAGGTAAGTGCTAGTCCTCTGGCAGGATACATAGGTGGCTTTCCAATTTTGTAATGGAGAATTTTCTTCACACTGCTGCTTAATGCCATTTGCTTTTACTAAACACAAAATATGCGTCTTGGCTATTTTGGAACATCTTGTACATTAAGATTCCTTAAGAATTTGTAGAAGCTAGTTCCATTAAGCACAAAATTTTATTTAGAGCCAATAAAACAGACTCAATTTCAAAAGAAAAGGGGAGGGGTACACTTATCATGATGAGCACTAAGTAATGTATAGAATTGTTGAATCATTACATTGTACACGTGAAGCTAATATAACCCTGTACGTTAATTATACTCCAATTAAAAAATTTAAGCAAAGACCTAAATGTACGACCTAAAATAATAAACCCTTAGAAGAAAATATAGGGCAAAAGTTTCACAGCATTGGACTTGACAATGATTTCTTATAGGCCTTGATATGACACCAAGGCACAGGCAACAATTTAAAAATGATTAAAAAATGGGTCTGAAAGGACATTTTTCCAAAGAAGATATACAAATGGCCATAAGTCCATAAAAAGATGCTCAATATCACTAATGAGGAAGGAAATGCAAATCAAAACTACAATAAGATACCACCTCACACTCATTAGAAGAGCTACCATCAAAAAAAAAAAAACAAAAAACAGAAAATAACAAGTGTTGGCAAGGATGTGGAGAAATGGAAATCCTGGTGCACTCTTGGTGGGAATGTGAAAATGATACAGCCGTTGTGGGAAACAGTATGGTGGTTCCTCAAAAAATTAAAAATAGAACTACCATATGACCCAGCAATTCCACTTTTGGGTATACACCCAAAAGAATTGAAAGCAGGGTCTCAAAGAGACATCTGTACACCCTGTTCAGAGCATTACTCGTGATAGCCAAAATGTGGAAGCAACCCAACTGACCATCAATGCATGAATGGATAAGCAAAATGTGGTACATACATATGACAGAATACTATTCGGTCTTAAAAAGAAAGGAAATTCTGACACAGGCTACAACACGGGTGAACCTTACGGACATTAAGCTAAGTGAAATAAGCCAGTCAAAGAGACAAATACTGTATGATTCTACTTGTATGAGGTACTTTGAGTAGTCTAAATTGTAAAGACAGGGGCGCCTGGGTGGCTTAGTCAGTTAAGTGTCTGCCTTCATCTAAGGTCATGATCTCAGGGTCCTGGGATCGAGCCCCATGTCGGGCTCCCTGCTCAGCAGGGAGTCTGCTTCTACCTCTGCCTCTCCCTGTGCTCTTGCTTGCTCTCTCTCTCTGTCAAATGAATAAATAAAATCTTAAAAAAAAAAATAAGTTGTAAAGACAGAAAGTAGAATGGTGGTTGCCAGGGGCTGGGGTAACGGTATGGGAAGTTATTGCTTAATGGGTACAGAGTTTTAGTTTTGCAAAATGAAAAGAGTTCTGGGGATAGAGGGTGGTGATGTTCATACAACATTATGCATGTACTTAATACCACTGAACTGTCCACTTAAAAATAGGTAAGATGGTAAATTTTAGGCATCCTTAGGCACAATAAAAAAATTGGGGGAGAGAAACACAACTGTCAAGAACATGAAAGACAATTATGGAATGAAAAGTCACCGAAATAAAAGGCACAGCATAGGGAATGCAGTCAATGACACTGTGATTGTGAGGTATGGGCAGATGGTACCTACACGTGTGGTGAGCATGGCATAATGCATAAACTTGTCAAATCACTAAGTTGTACACATGAAACTAATGTAACATTGTGTGTCAATTGTACTCAAATAAAAAAGAATTTTTTTGAGAGGTTGAAAGAGAGAGGAGGGGCAGAGGGGGAGAAAGAGAGAGAGGGACATGAAGAGAGAAAGAATTTCAAGCAGGCTACTCGCCCAGCATTGAGCCCGTGGCTCAATCCCACAACCCTGAGATCATGACCTGATGATCAAATCAAGAGTCAGACACTTAACTGACTGAGCCACCCTGGTGCCCCAGAAAAGAAATTTTCTTAAAGAACATGAAAGACAAGAAAAGATCAAGACATTCTTTCAAACTGAAGACTCTAAAAATGGGTCTTTTTTTAAAGATTTTATTTATTTGATAGAGATCGAGAGCACACAACCAGGGGGAGCAGCTGGCAGAGGGAGAGGGAGAAGCAGACTCCCCACTGAGCAGGGAGCCCGATGTGGGACTTGATCCCAGGATCCTGGGATCATGACCTGAGTCAAAGGCAGATGCTTAACTGACTGAGCCACCCAGGCACCCCTAAAAATGGGTCTTGACAATCACATGCAACATGACTTCCTAGACAGAGTCTTGGACCAGAGAAGAGAAAGAGCCACTGTGGGACAGCTGGTGAAATCTGAATGGGATCTGTGAATTGGAGGTTAGTGTTGCACAAATGCTGATTTCTAGGCTTGTATGGTTGTATGCTGGTTACATAGGAGAGAGTCCCTGTTTTGGAGACATGCATGTTAGAGTGTTTTGTGGTAATGAAACATCACATCTGCAATTTGATCTCCAAACTCTTACTAGAGAGTGGTCCGCGGAGCCAACACTGTAATATATTAACGGCTGGGGAATCAGGGGAAGGGCATGTTGGGAGTTCATTATACACACCTGGAGGCATCTTGAGGAAGGTATCAAGGTCATGCACTTCAGCCAGTTGCATGATCCGTTCTTCCTCTGCAAGGGCTCGTGCTCGGGCCTGAATGATATGTCTCTCCAACATTTCAACTTCATCCAGTCGCTGCTTATAGACCTTCCGAATCTGGCAGGTAGACCATCAAATACACAGAAATAGGCTGAGATCACAGAGCTTACTCACCCCCACCCCCAGCATCGGGCTTCCTGTGAAGCACAAAACAATCACAGAACTATGGAGACCAACTGGTCCAACCTAACAGATGTGAAAACTGAGACCCACAGAGGGAAACGGCTTAAAGGTTTCATAGTAAATTCGGGAAGAGAGCCGAGCCTGAAACTCTGCCTCCTGCCTTCACAGCTGCCACCCAAACTCTGAAAGAGCAAACACAAGTTAGCACACCACCTGTGGTAGACAGAGGCGTGCCACCCAGATGCCCACCTCACCTGAGACTCCCTTTAAGGGATTCCTCAGCAGTGTGGGCAGCCGTCAGACTCAGCAGAGAGGATCCAAGTCAGCTGCCTTCCTCCTTGTACAGACGAGGAAGCAGTTGTCTCCCAGAGACGAGGCATGCTTCCTCAAATCTGGCAATGAATGCCTAGGTTATGATTGTGGTTTGTGATACAAAGACAGGCACCCCAAAAGGGGTGACTTTTAGCCTTACCATCTCCAGGGAACAACAACTATTCGGCTATCTGCCCCAGTCCTTTTATTTACATATGCAATTATTTCGTGTGTGTATGTACGTAGAGAAATGAAGATGGATAGGCGCTACAGACATATGCCTTACGTGCCTATTTCTGTAAACGTGCGGAGAGAGTGCCCTTCCACTAGATGTCGAACACACTGGGGCAGGGACTTTGCGTTTTCCTAGCTGCATCCTCAGTGCCTGGCACCCGGCAGGTGCTGGCACTTGTCGAGCGGCTGAGTCCTGCGGGGGCCTGCCTTTCTAGGGGGGCGCCCTGGGACCCCCCCGCACTGTCCGCGGACATGACGCCACCGCGTCCCCGGTGAGCAAGGGCAGGGAGCGCGCGGGGCTCCGGGGCCGCCTTACCCGCTGCAGCTCGTCCACGAACTCCTCGTGGCGCGCATCCTCGCTGCCGCGGGCCTTGATCAAGCTCGCGCTCAGGTCCTCGCCGATCACCTCGTTAGTGTACAAGTTGCGGAAGAGGCCGGTGAGCAAGTGCGAGATGTCTTGGCTGCGCAGCGAGGTGGGGCGCAGACTCAGCAGCTGCGGCTCGGGGAGCGGCTGGAGCGCGAGGGGCCCCACGCGGCGGGCCCGGCCCCCGAAGCCGTAGTGAAAGGCCTCGGAGTAGGTCAAAGAGGACAGCCAGGCGGACTCGCTGGGGCTGCGGATCCCGGCCAGATGCGAGGTTGGCGTCCACGTCGCGCCCCGGAATGCGTAGGACCCGGACTCTGCAGACAGCCCGTCTCTGCCTCTTCCCGTCTCCATGGCAACTGAGACGCCGCTAACTCTTGCCGCCCTTCCGCTTCCGGCCGCGTCTTTTCCGCTTTGCCTCCCTCTGCGGGGGCCGCTTATGCATCGACCTTCTTTTTTTTTTTAAAGATTTTATTTATTTATTCATGAGAGACAGAGAGAGAGGGAGAGAAGCAGAGGGAGAAGCAGGCTCCCAAGGAGCAGGGAGCCCGATGCGGGACTCGACCCAGGATCCTGGGATCATGACCTGAGCCGAAGGCAGACGCTTAACCGTCTGAGCCACCCAGGCGCCCTGCATCGACCTTCTTAAAGTGAACTTAGTGTGAGGCACCAATGGAGAATGAATGGTTCATTGGCACAGCCAGGCCAGTCGGGTTGCAAAACCTGGCTCCTAACTACCTCTCTTCATCTGTCTGTTCTCTAATTTGTTAAGCAATTATTCACTCATTTAATATTTATTGTATAAAGATTCTATTGCAGGTTTGTGCTGGGAGCTGAAGATAGCAAAGGAAGTAAGATGCCGCTTCTTCCCTCAGTCGTGTGTGTGTGTGTGTGTGTGTGTGTGTGTGTGTGTGTGTGTGTGTGTG